TATTTATATATTAAATTTATTAAATAATTATTGTTTTTCAAAAGTTTTTCAAAAGTCAAAAGTTACTATCACCAATTTTTCCACATTTATAAAATTTAATAACTTAAAAAAATATATATTCGTTATAAAAAATAATATATTCGTTATAAATTAATTCATATAAATAAAATTACTATTTATTAATCATTATAAAAAATATTTATTGTTATATATTGTTATATTTATATTTTTTTAAAATAATTAATTTTTATATTATTATTTTATTATATAAGTATTATTTAATGAATTCAATTCTAAAAATTTTTTTTTTTTGACATATCAGATTTTACTGTATTTTATTTTTATTATTTAATATTTGCAAATTTCATAATTGTCGACTGAAAATATTTGTATACAATAATTTTATATTATTTCTATTTTTACTTATTTATATTTGTATATATATTCTAAAAAATAGCAACATAAATAGTAATAATTATTTTTCATAAAAAATTATCGTCACAAAATAAATGAAAACATCATAAAAGAAATAAAACACATTAAATAATTATTTTTGTGTTATATTAAAACATAATTGTTATGTTAAAAAAGAAATTAGTTCAAATTCTCTAATTCTTTACATAATAATTATTCTGGTAATTATTTGAAAAAGAGGATTTTTCATCAATTTTAATGATTTTGAAATATCATGAAATATGAAATAAAAAATAAGATATTAAATTTAACTTTTCTTTATCCATAAAATTGCTTGATATTAGTTTTTGAAACATTTGCAAAAAATAATTGCTATATACAAATACACCTATGACAGCATATGTGCAATAACAATATGTCACTTATTACTTTCTAAAAAATACAATATAGAAACATATAACGATGAGTTACAAAAGTATTAGTTATTGAGTTAATAATTATCAATAATTAATAATTATTAATTATTACAGTTAATATTTATTTATAGAGAGATTCTTCAAATGTACGGGAAATAAAATATAAGACAAAACAAAACCAAAATTAGAGTGAATTACAGTGAATTTAAGTGAATTACTTTAGATAGATAATGTTTATATTGTAATGTTATTGTAATTTTGATTATTGTAATTTCGCCTTGTTCTATATCTTATTTTCGCGTTCTGCGGATTCGAAGAATTCATGAAATATTCAAATTCTCTATTTTAATAAATAAATACTAATAATAGATGAACGATAGCAGAATTTCAAGTTTGATATATATTGAGATTGAAATATTTCGAAAAATACATTCACTTACTATAGCTATTACAAATTATTATAGGAAATAGTTTTATATCGTTATATTAGTCTTTTGGCACCACAATATATATTCATAAAAGATAAATATTTAATATAGTTTTTAATATATGTATGTTTATGCATATATTATTACGGATGCATATGTATAGACGAAATTCTATGCAATAGTAGATTTTTTTCTATTTGGATTATAAAAGAAGATATCATCTATGACATTATTCAAAGTCAGACTTTTTCCGCATTCCACTCCTCTTACATGTAATATATACATGTTTGACATATAAAAACACTATATATCCATATCCATTTCCAGACGACAGAGCTACTATGGATTAGATAGCCAGCATTTGCTGGTTTTATTACAACCTCTATGTACTCGTTTTAAGTGAAGCGCGACGTGAGTGCTGTCGCAATCTCTTGTACGCAGTAGCATCAATTTCTGCATACGATTTGTCGACTGAAAAGATGGCCGGAATATCAGGCGTCGACTCAAAATCCAAGAGATTTCATGGGACAACTTCAAGATACGTGTCTTACGTTCTTTAAAGAGATTCTTTCGATCCTCGTCTTACGGAAAAACTACTAATTGATGGCGAATGCGACTTTTGTGTCGAGAGATAAGCCATGCTCTTGAAATCCCGGAATTGTAATTCGGATTAAAGTTCGAGTACAAATAATAAAATGAAACATAATGACAAAATTTCTTTTTGTTATTCATTTCTAATAGTGAATAAAAATTGCTCTCGATATTATAATGTTTAAACTATTAAAATCTGAATTTGATCAATAAATTTTTTAAAATTGCAAACAGTTTAAAAATTATTATATTCATTGATTTCATAGATTTTTGTTCAATAATAAAGTATTTTCAGAAAATAATATTTTTTATTTTTATACCTAAAAATAATTTTGCACTAAAGAGTTCGAATTAAATATGGAATAAATTAAAGATTAGATAAATATATTATTAGATTAGATATTACATGATTAGATTAGATATATTAAATAATACATTATCATTTTATATATTAATTTTAATGTATCGATAAATTTATAATATATGAGAGAAAAATATACTTATTTTAGCTTTTACATCGCATTAATTACTAAAATCATGAATAATTTATAACATCTATTAATATACCCATTCATTTCGCTTCATTCAAAATTAAATTATTTATAATTTGAAAAATAAATTTCCAAAAATATTTTTGTATACCAATATTTATTTTAAAATCATTCTTTAAATATTTTATCTATATTATTCGAATTCTGTAGAATCAATAATTGATTTATATTCATATAAAAATATTCGTATAAATATTCATATAAAAATATTCGTATATTACATAATTTTGGATGAAATAGCTTGATTTCGTAAAAGTATAAAACATTCTTTTGATTTTTATTTATTTTTGATACTATATTGTGTATTGCGTACAAAATAACTATTATTTTTGTTTGCTTTTAATTTAAAAATCAGATAAATTTTATATAATATAAAAATTATATATTTCCGAAAACTTTTTATGTATCTTTCAAACTACAATTTAATTGATATTTTCATCATTTCATTAATATTTTCATATTTTAATTCATATTTTATATCAAAAAATAATTTTTTTCGAAATGCAATCCATAATACAATGTTTAAAAACTAAATTTTAAGTATATATCGTATGATGAAATATTATCGTATGATTATTAAAAAAACAAATAATATATAATTACTTTCTGATTTTTAAAAGGCTTGCGTTACGAGATAAGTGACCTAAATAAATAAAAATTAATACGTTATATTAATAGAATCAGAATTTAATAAAAAATTTCTGAAATAGAGATACATCATTGAATGAGATTAGTCCAGTTTAATGAATAAAATTCAACAAATCAGAAAACAGACTACTTATTTTGTTAATTATTGAAAACATAAAAAAAGAAACATTTGAAAAAAAATTTGCAATTGGGAAAATTGGAAAACTCAAACGAATAATATTTGTCAATGAAAATTTTTCAGATCTTAGAGTATAAGAAAATAATATTCCTAGGGAAAAAATGATAATATTGAATACATAGGATATGAAATAATAAAATCGTATATTAAATTCGATGACAAGATGATTAAATTCGATGATTGATTTATGAAAAATGATTTCACGATGGATATTCAGAATTTTTTAATATATATAAACAATATAGAAACATTTTAAAAAAGAAAATAATTTTTTATTTTATTAAACTTATAACATATATTTTTTATCCATCATACTGATCACATTGAAACAAAGTTCATCTCACTTGAATAATCTGAGATGACCTTAGAATTTAATTATTTTTTTTTCAAAATCTATGATTATTTTTTCTTTTTTTCTTTTTTATTATTATATAAATCTATATATATTTACATTTACAAATATATTTTTTTTTGTTTAGATATTAATTAAATTTAGTAGTTAAACTTAGTATATTCATTTTAAAAAATTGATCCGGATCATCTTATCCGGATTTATCCTATAGTATTCAAAATCAATGAGTTTATTTCTTTACAAATAAATGATACCAGATTTTCAGACGCAATAACAATGACGTATATCGATCTAGTCTAGCAGCTGGTCGGATCCTGAGACCCGGGATATTATTCTCGTTCGCGCGGCACCGCGAGGAAATCAACAAGAAAACTAACCGGAAGCTTTACCCGTTTCCTGGTACCGAGCACCAGATGCTCCTCCAACAAAGTCATTTCTCAACGTTGCCGTGATTATACGAGTCCTCTCCCATTCTACCACTATCATTCTGATGGTATTTTTCATGCGAATCAGAGTTTTGTCGATTTCGGGATTTCACTTTTATAAGTTCTTTTACAATCTCGATGTCAGTGATCGTGAATTTATGGTAAAATCGTTCAGAAGTAGAATCGTAGAAGTTCTAAAAATCTATTTTAAGTTGATTTATTATTTGGTATATTATTTATAGTTGAAAGTTTTTTGCAATTATTTGCAAATTTTTGCAACTATTTTACAATTTATTTATTACGATACATATAATTCACATTGTAATTATTTTATTTGTTTTTTCTGTCTATTATATATATGATATCAAATAATATATAATTATTAATAAATGAATAAAATACAATACAATAAAAAAATATATATTAATTAAAATTGGAATAAATTTCTCACAAAATTATTATGTAAGAAAATATATTATTTATAATAATATTAATCAATTAATAAGTTACAAATTATTTATTTTTTATTATTATAGGTAATTTTTATATTTGCAATTTTTTAAAGTTCTCAAACATGTTAACTATTAGGATTTGTAATTTCTAAATCTTTATTTTTGTTATCAAACCTATTATTTTTATGAAACAAATATCAAAATTGACAAGTTATTATTATTTGCAATATTATTTTAATTTAGATATTATTTCAATTATGATAACTAAATAGAATGCAGATATTTATTATAAAATTTAAATCAAAATCTACAGAATGCAGATGATATGCAAAAAACACAAAAAATCAAACTATACTACTTAAACTATACTACTTTGAGGAATAAAACAAATTCCTATTTAAGTTTCACTTTTTTAATGACATTTATAAATATGATTTTACATAAAAATCCGCAATCTAACCATTATCGCCCTATTGTAGTATATTAATATTGTAGTATATTATATGTATATAGTATTATATACATATAATAAATATTCAGCAATAATCTTTGAATAATTTTATTCATTAAAAATTCATTTTATCTCGAGGGCGAAACGGGAATGTTATATAAATTTCGAAATGTAGATCCTATTTATCGCTCGTGTAGATACATTTATTTGCATGCATTTAATATTGAAATCCCGCCATACCACCGGAATAATACCGGTTTGTTTTCCATTAAAATCGGAGAGTTCGCCATTTGTGTACCTAAGAAATTCAAATACCACGGGCCAGCCAACCGACAGTATTATTCTGGTTCGTTGTAAATATCGAGGAAATCAACAAGAAAGTCCAAGCCGCTACACTTCCACGTTTCCACTGCCAGATGCTTCTGATCATTTCTCAACACTGCCGTGATTATCCGCATCGTTTTGTTACTGGGTACTGTTGCACTTTTTCTTTCCACGCGCGAGGGAATTATCGTGGACGCGTCACATCCACAAAGATACACGGATGTAATCCGATCCATGAGTATTTTTCAACGCGAGAAAAGAGAGAAATGCTTTCATCCGGCGGATTAATTGCTGGGCGAGGAATAATTTAAACGCTTTCGCAGCGCAAACAAATTTCACAGGATTCTTCCGTTGTTGTCGAGGAAATGTTTTTGATGCTTGTTTCTGATTTCGTTGTTTGCTCTCCATGATTGATTATTTCATGATTATCCTTATTATAATATTTTTGTATTTTCGATTAAGGTAAATTTTGAGGATACAAGTCCATGTGTTGTTTACAAAATTTACAACGGATATCTTGTAAAAAAATTGCAAAAATATTTGATTGCAAAAATATTTGATTGCAAAAAATTTGGATCAAATTTATCGTAATTATCAAATAATAATATTGAATCCTGATATTGGCTTCATTGTATCTCGAGATTTTTTTGTCTTTTGTCAAATATAGGAAAACCTGAAAAGTCCATTACAATTATGCTACAATACATCAATTTTGCATTATAAAATAATAATTGCATATGTATGTGAAAATGTATACTTTTTATGTATATTTTTATGTATATATTATACAATAGCTTTGATTCGTAAAAAACAATGAATAAAAAACGTTGAATAATAATAATCATGTATTGATCGAGCTTCCATTTAATTCGAATTATCGCAAAAAAAAAAAGACTCGATTTTATTGAATCTCATTTACCTTAATGTTAGACACTCGCAAAGAAAAATTGGAAGTAATATCTGAAACGCTTTGTTCCCGCAGGATGCACGTCATTCCCATGCGCACCGAGAGATGATGCGATTAACGAGCAAAGCGAAGGAAACTCCTCTTTTCCCTTAGCTTCCGTTAAAACAACAGACGTCCATCCCGGTAATTTCTCAACAGGAACTGTTATCACACGTATTCTTCCGTAATAATATAATTTTCCGCCCTTTATCGCGTAGATACGCTCGATAATGAGTTACACGTTACGTCGTTGTATTCCTTTCATTTCTCTTTTCTCTTTTTTCTTTTTTTCTTTTTTTTTTTTTTTTTTTTTTTTTTTTNNTTTTTTTTTTTTTTTTTTTTTTTTTTTTGCATTTTTATTTCGTTTTAACGGTATCGATTCATACGCTAAACGAGACGGAAATATCCTTTTGAGAGAGAATAAATTACACGTTTTACGCAAATGGGAAATTTCACCGGAGAATGAATAAAATTCATGAATTTGTCCATTCGCTGCGCTTCAGTATCGAAAGTAAGAGATGGATGGGCTGAGAAATTACCTTATTCTACTCTTATTCTAACAAAATTTGAACCGATCCACGAAAAATAATTAATTTTAAAAATTAAATTCGAGAAAATTAAAATTATAGAAAATATGATGAGACAATTGTTTGCAGAAAAAATATTATTGTAGAAATGATTAATATATTATTAGAAAGAATAAAGCTAATTATTCGCGAACATTTATGACCAATTTATTCGAAGAAGTTCCTCGAAGGAAACCTTTTTCCTTTTTTTTTTTTTACTATAGATCGTCTTCATAAAGCTTAAGCAAAGAAATTGTCTGAGAAAATTGCTTTTTGAGAAGTATTCGACACTTACAATCGCATATGTTTGACATACTTCAGTCTGGCTGAAGCGCAACACGATTCCAACGATGATATCTTTATGGCGATCATCAACTCAATTCTAGGAATTTTCCTCTAACTTGGCAATAATATCGCGCAAACGTTGACTGTGATATTATTGTACTTCATCAGAAATGCGCGATCTTCTCAATTGAACTTGGAAAAGATTTCTAAAGGTTGCCCTCAGTAAAATGTGAAAAAAATCTAATCAACACTCGTTGCGAACACGTTGAATACGACAAATACGTAGTTTCTTTGCAACTACGCATCGTGCTCCCACCAACAAACACGATCTACTGTGACATTGTGAAGGTCCAACTCTTATATAAACATGCGTACTGTAATATATAGCCCATTTAAGAAAATACTTCACGGTTACAAACATCAGCTTCTATACACATAAATTCTACATCTCAATAAAGAAGTATTCGATACATACGCATACATATACCTAACGAGCTTCGTCACAATAACAGTATCGCAGGCACGAACATATATATTATATAATAAACTAAAAATGAAATAGAAATGTACAAATAATATATATGTATATATGATCTTTTATCAATGTTTTTATATTTTTAATATTGTGTTAATAAAAAATTTTATATAGTTATTCTTGTTGATTTTATGCAGCATACAAATTTAAATATATTAAAAATTGCAACATACATTTAAATTTAAATTTATTATTCTCGAAATATTATTTTTTAAAATATTTATTTACAATGTTTCCTAACTATTAGTTTGTAGTTCAAAATATTATTTTGTAAATTATAATAATAAATATTCCGGAATATGCGCTTATATTTTTTAAATACTATTTGATAATTCTCGAAACAATATTTTGTTGTTCATTTAATTAACATGAAATTATTAGGAAAGAATTATAAGTTTTCAAGAGAATTTATAAATTCGTAAATCATTAAAAATTTCAATGATATGTAACTATACGTATAAAGCTATAATATACGTATAGATTTATTCTAAAAGAAATATATCACATAAAAATACGTAGAATAAAAATATACATAACTTTTAAAAATAGTTTTAAAAATAGTTTTCAAAATTGGAATTCGTACAAACGTTCGTTTTTCATTTTTTCCTTCAATCTTTCATTGTTCACGTAGTTATATCGATTACTGGATAGATAGATATGAAAGAGAAAAATTAAAAAAAAAAAAAAAGAAATGAAAGAAAATGCCAATCGATGAAAGTTCACGAATTATTCTTAACGAAATCGGACATTTTCATGACGATATCACAAAGATTCTTGCGTCATCGTTCTTGAGACATTTTCTAGCATTAGAGAAAACTTATTTGAAAACTTGGTGGGAAGTTTAAAGGAACTATCGAGGAAAGCGGGAGGAAAAAGTCAATCTGGCCAGTGACGTTCAACTTCCCTTTCTTAGACGACCGACGATAACAGACGTTATCGACATCTTTGTATTCATAGAATAAAGAGCTTACGACACGGTACTATGCTGTTAGAAACAAGATAAAAGTTTCTTTAGATGGTCCTAGGAAAGATACGATTTACGTTTCGCGATAAATTTCGTTTATTAAGAATTGGTTTAACGAAACTTTCTAATTTATCATCACTATAGAGTAATATGTAATTAAAATATAGATAATATATAATTTACTATAGCGTTAATGGCCAAACTTTTGAAAATTGAAAACTCAATTGTTCAAGAAAAAAAGCTGCATATAATTAAATCATTTAATAATATTAATTTTTTAAAAAAGAATTTCTCTTATTTTAGAAGTTTTTTCTTAGTGATAAATTATGTTACACATCTACTTGGATAAAGTTCTGAGAAATTTCGATCAATATGAAATTTCGAGGGATGAAAGATGGAAGGATAGATTCCAAATAAAAACCAAATAAAATTTTGATTTTTATTTATCAGTCATATCAGAAATATGAGTGAAAAGTGAAAAACTTTGCTATATACTGAATTCTATCTATGATTAATATCTTTTTGTTGTAGAAGTTATTATTATCATCTAATAGACGATCTCTGTATCTATAAAATGTTTCATATAAAATTTTCAATTATTTCTATATAGAGGCAAAATATAGCAATATGGTCATGACAGTATCGCTTTTAAACTTTAATATAATACAATATTCATTTTGGAATCATTTTTATTCGAAACATGTCCAAAATAACGGAGATCTGCATATCTATTGCTATTACTTGTGAATTGATTTTTACTCACTTGTATTTAGTTATGTATATAATATATGATTTAGAACATGATATTTGGTATTTAATAAGAAAAATGCATTTAATTTCTTGATCAGATTTTTGAGAAGCTATAAATATTAAAACCAATGTAATTACGAAATTTCTTTAGTATATTGTTATTCGATTTTCATGGCTATTCATTTAGTATATGGCAATGGCTACTATAAAAATTGTTATATTAACATTTGGATAGCATTAGATGCATTAGTAACATTTATAAACATATACATTTCAAAAATTTTTTATTAATATCTTAAACTAATAAATATCTGAAACTAAAATTTTAAATTTAAAATCCATCCTGTCTTCTCTATCATCAAATTTCTTGTCGATTGCAATCTTTCAAAATAGCCAGAAGTTTTAATAATTAAGAAAGAAAAAAAAAAGCTTTATAGAAAATAATAAAAGTTTACAATAAAGTATTTTAAGGCACTTGTAAATAATTTAATATCTTTTTGTCTTTAATTCTTTAATAAGATTAAATAAATACATAATAGTATTTATTTAATTTTCTTTTTTTGTTCTTTAAAGCTCTCTATGACGTATTTCTATGAAGCTCTCCTCCTCATTGGAAATATCTTGAAGTTTTATCGAGGAAGTATTTCATGAAATTTCTTCCAGACATATAATGATTGCCGCAGGCAGTTTCAATGCTATCTTCAAGGGTGTCATGAATTAGTTACATTTTATCAGATATCGAAGCGAAAATTTTATGTTCGAAAGAAAGAAAAAAGCAGAAAAGAATTAAGAGAAAAAAATATCATTGCATGTAATTGCAAATGTTTAGAAATTCATTTTAAATGATGTTTTTTATTCTCTTTAAAATTCGATGGCAAATATATTCATATGAAAAATATATTAGATATAGAATTATAATTATACAACTTTAACTGTGTTTATTAATATTTGAATTTATGTTTAATATAAATAAAAGATAACTTTTATAATTTACAATTAAAATTTATAAAAAACTATTGTTAACTAACTAAAGTTGAATTTAAATGGAAAAATATTTATGATTTCAAATAATAAAACATATCTTTATACATTTATTCATTATTATCAAAGTTACTATATGAATATAATATCACATAGTGGAAATAATAGATTTTTATATATTATTTTTTTATTGTACATAGATATGTTATTTTTTTATTATACATTATTTTAGTCGATATATATCGAACTGATATGATGTATATATATGGTATATAATAGATTCCATTTTAATCGGATATTATGTGATCAAACACCTAACTAATTAATTCAATATTATTTATAAAATTATACACAAAGATATATATATATAATATTATGATAATATCATATGTTAAGACGAGAAAATGAAAACTCTAAAAAAAATCACATAGAAAATTTATTATAACTATTATCTACCTAAAACACAAAATAAAATAATGAATTATAACGTTCGAAAAATAAAAGAACAGATTGAATACAGCAAAATTTCTATACGCATATAAAGATTTCATTTTATATTTTGAAAGAATACATTTGTACATTATTTCCGATTCACTGAATCATAAACTATCAAAACATATATAATTATTATCGAGAAAATCAACGAAACATCTCATGCGCCAATTGCCATCCACGAATATTTCCACGATTTGCATCTCGAAAGATGACCAATTCTCACGTTACCGCAGCTGTTCCGCAAACACTCTGTTTATTCCCGCGTGTAATTTCCGGGGGCCGGTGACTCGTTAATTTCTCAGTGTCTCGTTCGCGGTCATTCCTATCCGTTCTCTAACCCCTGGACCCCTCTATATCTTCTTCAACCCCGAACACGTCCAAGCATCTCCGCCTCGCACGGACCTAAGAGCGATCTCTTCTATACATATTCATGAGGTAATAAGCCCGTGATCTTCCCGTGGAATGGGACAACAAGGGAAGAATGGAAAGTAGGCAGTCGGTAGATGTCATCGGCCTTTGTCTCGTCGCTTTCGAATTCTTCTTCGTCAACCCCTTTCGTCAAATGTTCCTCTCGTAACCACTAACTTTCTCCTTCTGTGTATCATCGTTACCAATAACGATACCCTTAACGGCAAGTTACAGTGAGAACCGCAAGATCGAGACTTATTCCTCTCCTGCTCTCAAAGCGTATCCCTACTCCCTCTCTGTTCAAAGTTTCGTGTATCGTCCCCTTCAATAATTTACGATTGTTGACGCTCGAAGAATTGGCTACGAGTATTCCCGATCGAAAGAGGACGTTTTATCCCGATTTTTGCAAATGTATGATCGATCGTCGACCGCGTTTGAGAATTCCATCAAGGAGTAACGAGAAAGAGAGAGAGAGAGAGAGAGAGAGATGGCCTTATCCCAGGCTTCCCTCTCTAAGTCTCGATCCATTATCCGAAGGATGTACGAATATAAAAGTGAAGTTTCTTGCTCTTTCTTTCTTGCTCGCGGAGCGAGATCGGTTTAATCAGAAGAAAAAGAATCGAGGGAAGGATATCCCGATAATCGGTGTTGAAAGAGAGCATTTTCTATCTTGGCTGTTAGATCACGTCCGCGACATTATTTCTTCTTTCCTTTCTCGTATTCCTTCAAATCTCCATTTTCCTTGCTCCTCCGGGAGCCGGAGAAGGTAGTTCCTCTGTCGCCTCGATAGACAGAAAATATCATATTACTTTGCAGATCGCTCGGTTCGACGCGAAATAAACCTTGGCGTGCTGCGGTAAGTCGGAAAAGGAGGTGAAGGCCCCTTATTATGCATGAGACAGCCGTCAAATCGTTTCGTGAGCGACGACCGCGAACCGGTTTCCGCACCTTTAACGAGATCTCGATGCGATGTGTCACGTAGTTGATAAGCCGGATAGAAATTTTTCTTTCGCGCAAGGGTTTCTCACCATTCGGCTCCCGCGATAAATTATAATCAGCCTGTCGCAATATTTCTTCGTCCGGCGCGGCGTCACTTTGAAATATCGAATGGAGCATTCGATATCGTTAGGAATGTTCCAACCATGAGAGAGATGCTCGGAGAGGTTGTTTTACGTGTCAATGACGTGTCA